AGCCACGTTGCACTTTGAAGTAATATGACCTTAGAATGCTAGTTCCAATGTTTCTGGCTTCCACACCTACAATGCTCATGCTGTCGCTTTCCACATGAGTAAATCCGCTGCAGAGGGAAGGGACAGGCTGCAGGTTAACTGGAGGGAAGGACAAATGTTTAAGCAGCAAAGCTTTCACAGGAAGATGGACTTCACCCCTGTACTTTCTCCACCCAGCCTAACCCGTCGTGTTTTACTTTGGGCTTCGACTTCAGGGCCTGCGGTCCTTTGCATCAATTAGCAAAAATCACCATGTCCTTAAGCACGATCAGTTTTGAGTCCTGACAGCAGCTGCCTGAATCACAGTGATTCCAGCTATTCTAGAAACTTCTTCTGATACAAGGTGCGGGGGGGGGGGGAGACCTAAGCCAATCTGGGCAAGTCAGCGTCATTTCTCCAGAATTTAAAATTACTGTCAATTCCCGACCAGTGTCAGTGAAGGAGGTGTAAATGCAGGGGCTAACAGGGCCATCATTCCCCACAAACATACAATGCTACTCTGTTGCACAAGAAAAAAGGGAAGTAAGTGTGTAGAGAATGAAAAGAAACAAAGAATCCAAAAAACCAGAGAAGGAACTTCTTGAGTTTCCTAGGGAAGCCCAGATTGCTTCTGAAATATTGCTACTCTGGCTTTCATGCAGTATCTTTTAGCTTAGAGGAAATTCCATGCCTACTTACTGAGTTTCTTTAAGTAGCAACTGAAGTTCTGTTCAAGTTAGACATTAGTATCAAGAGTGGAAGGTGGCAGTTTCCAGAAAACTGCAGCACTGGCTGGTCTATGTAGGGTTTGAGCAGGAGGCAGTGCAACAGCTGCTCCCTGACACGGTCAGACAGCAATGGTTCATGGTTTGTTAGCAAAGAATGCTGCACTAGCATGTGTCTTCTTTTTCTCTTTGGAGACTTCCTCTTAAATCTTTTATTCTTCAGCTGATTTTTAGTCATTTGCAGAATTGTGTAACTGTCACCATGACCTAGTTTAAGAACATGTCCGTCATCCCAGAAGATCTCTCACAGCCAACTGCAGCAAATCCCCACCCACTCCCAGCCCTGGACAGCCAGTCATGGACCTTCTATTCCCACAGACTTGCCCTTTCTAGGTGCACCGTATTAATGGAATCATTGATACATGATCTCACACATCTGGCTTCCTTCACTGGCACCATGTTTTTGCGGTTCACCCACGTTGAGTGTGTGTCAATATGCCAGTCCTTTTTATGAACGAGTAACATTCCCATGTGGACGCACCACAGTGGACTTACCCAGTTACCAGCTGAGGGACATTTATACTGTTCACGCTTTGGAGTATTTTAACTAAAGCTATTAAGAACATTCATGTACAAGTCTTTGCGTAGACGTATGTTTTCTCTCTCCTGGGGGGATGCTGCTAGGTTGCTGTTAAATTTGTGTTTAACACACCTGTTTTCTTTGGAGAATCAGAACACATATGCACAGACGGCAAGTTTTAGGAAATTGAAAAACTCAAAAAAAGTATTGTATCTTGCAGCATTCACTAAGGTGCTGGAAAAGAGAGACAAAATGCAGTCCACCATGTGGGGAACAACAGTATGGAGCAAGACTGCTGGGTTTCTGATGCCAAATGAAGTTCCCAAGGGGAAGTTACCACTCAGTCAATTACAGATTTCTGGGGGAATGTGTTATGAATTAGGAAAGGGCACAATTCAAGGCTGTAATCCATTCCAGTGTCCTGATTAACGTACATTTTTTCAGAAGATGTTTCTAAATGCGCTACTCACATTAAGAATGGTGTCATTTCAGTGAAAGGATGTGTTTACCACTCTCTAATGCAGGCAGCACAGTTTAAAACCACATGTGAAAAAGCAGTTTCTAACTGGGCTATCTGCTCACCACAGTGTGTATGATTTCAGTGAATGAATGTGTTTCAGTCTGTGCAATGCATGTCACGCAGTGTTTAAAAACACATGTAAAAGAGAAGTTTCTAAAAGTGCCACTTGCTTGCTACGTTGAGAACAGTGTTATTTCACAGGAAAGATGTTCTAACCATTCAGGAATGATGTAGAGAATTCTTTAAAGATACACGTCAAAAAGAAAAGGGAAAAAAGCCCATCTTTGAGGCCAACATCAGAACACAAACCCCTGAAGGGTGACTTGGCCAAGGCTCTGGCGACCTCCCCCGCGGCCTCTTTCCAGTAGCAACAACGTGTCTGTAGGTGCGTCTCCCTGAGAAGAGGGAGGCTGTCCTGCCACTGGAGGGAGGAAGTCGTCACTGAGGAGTCATGACTGCGGGGCGTACAACGAGGACCTCCGCCTGCCTGAGGGGCCCGCTTCGCTAAGGCCGGCCTGTGGCCAAGTGCAGACACAGCAGAGCGAGGCCCCCCTCCCGAGTGCAGTAACATACCGTGTGTTACACAGCAAAAATACAACACTTCACCGCTTGCCGTGTGGGCATGGAGCGGCATGGCTCTCAAAGTCTGAAACTAGGCAGGTTTGTTGCAGAAATCTTGAATTTTAAAAAATGATTGGTTTGGGGCACTGATTTTTTTCATTTAATATTGTGAGATGTTTGTCACAGGAGGTTGCACGCACCTCCTACCTCGTGGCAAGTAGGTGGCAGCTACGAGGTCAGTGACCTCAGCATAAGCAGCTGAGACAGAACATAAATCTGTGAAGCCCTGTCCACTTTGCAGGACTCACTCTGACAAGAGGAAACAAAAGCCACCCCCAAATTCTAATTCTAAGCCACAACACAATCTCAATCTCCCCCGACTTTTACAATATCGCCCCCACTGACCGCCACGGCCATCTGGGTCTGGTAGATAGATCTGGGAACGTGTGGGTTATGGAGGGAGGGTAAAAGCCAGGCTGCAGGGCTGGGCTCCACTGTGCATCCCTGTGGGACTTTGGGCGAAACAGCCACCTCTCTAAGCCAGTTTCATCTGTAAAAACGTGGGTGACAGTAACGGCAGGTGGCGGTTTTGCACATTGAAGGAGATAATGTAGATGATGGACAGTATCTTTTTTTTCTTTTTTAACAGAGAAGGAAACAGAATCTGACCAGCAATTTGCCTCAGGTTCCCAGCCAGTGTGGGGCAGGCTGAGCTAAGACCCCAAGTCCCGTTCACATCCTTTCCAATGGTACCGCATACTGTGCGGAGGCCAGGAGAGGCCACTTTACAGGTAAAGTTTTAAAAAAATCAGAAGCTATTACCTGGCCCATCTGTGAGACCCACCAAGCAAATGATAGCAGCTCTTGAGGACAGGATGTTTATTGTCCTTGCTCCACAGGTAGACTCGCAAGGAGAGGTCAAAGGAGGAGGTGATGACTCGAGTCTGGCCCTTGAAATGAAAAACCAAGTGAGGCAGGGATGTGGGCCCTGAGGCCCAGGGCCATGACGCAGGCAGGCAGGGCACCACACTCACCACCCACAGGGACGTGATGGGCCTCTGGTGGTCCTGAAAGGCTGCCAGCTGCAGGCCGTGCATGGTGAAGAGCACCAGCTCCGACCCCGAAACCAGCAGGATCACCTGAGAGCCATGGCTCTTCATGAGCTGAGGAGGCATCATGGTGTCTGGCAGGAAGAAACTTGCGATCTGCTGTACTTTTTGAAATGAAAAACACACAGACTGTCACATCTTAGTAGCAGCTGGAGGTCTGGAATAGACATGCCTAAGATGATGTGGTGCAATGTGAAGAGCAATGGCTTCGTGGTTATACTTGCATCCAATCCTGACTCAAGCACTCACTCCCGTAAGTCACCCAGTCATCAGCTCTAATATACTGAGCATGATGGCTTCCGGGGGCCTTATAAAGAGTCAAGGCGACACATATGTGGCAGTGGGTGTATCTGCCACACAGTACTGCGCAGGGGTGAGGCTTCTACCCTGCTCTCTACCCTTCCCCATCTGACAGGGTGACGTAGGAGATGGCCCCATGAGAACTACAATGTTTATGACATCTGCCAAAAACTACTGTTGAAGATACTGTCTTTTACACTTGCAAAAAAATTAATTTGATCATTTCCTTATGGAGTTTAGCACCAGGAAAATAAAATTACTTCTTTTGAAAAATTCCTGCACTTGCTTATAGCAGACAAGGGATTATATTACACATCTTGTTTCTCTTTTTTCCTCGGCTGCCAGAAAGCTCAGAGTAAAATTTATGGTCAAATGAGGACATGAAAACAAATGAACACAATACAAAAGGAAAAATATTCAGGACCATAGGAAAGGCCTATAAGGATTACATGAGGTTTGGGAAATAGAGGAGGCAGGAAAGGAGAAGGATGTAGGTCTTAGTATTCTACTGGACTAAGAGCTCCTTAGGGAAGAGATAGTTGTGGCTTTGATTTATCTGTGTGTACTCAATGCTGAGAACAGTGACTTTGACAGAGTTATGAAAAGACAGGTAGGGATGAATGGAAGCAGAAAGACCAGTTGGGGGAGAAAAGTAGTCAGTAGCTCACATCTGAATCCAGGGCCACGCAAAGGGCCCAACACATGGCAAGTGCTCAACCACTCAACCAGTGCGTAAAATCCCAACAGCAAGACATCTGTTGGGTCACTATGAGTCACTGAATCATAGAAAAGAAGAGGCGCTCCAAAGGAAACATGCGAAATCTGTGCTTGAAGCTTCATAAAGCAGTGGTAGTGACAGTCTTGATATGGGGATCCTTACCCAAAATGTCCACTCTATTCCTGGTCTTCTTGGCCTCTAGTTCATAGGTGGTGACCACCAACTGCATGCCATTGTCATTTCTGTGCATCACCATTAGCCTGGCTGCCTCGGCAGGCGCCCAGCAGGCTCTGGAGGTCAGCCCGATGGGGAGAGTGGTGTAGACAGGAGGCTCGTCTTCCGATGGACACAGCAAGGACAGAGTGTGGAACACCTGGAGAAACGCCGCTGCACGGTCTCACCACTAGTGAGGGAGGGGCTCCTCCAGGCCAGGAGCACTCTGAGAGCCCTCCCCTCAGACCCGCACCCTCCGTGGCCTGACTGGGTCTCACAGGGTGGCCCGTGCCACCTGTGGACCCTCTCTTCCTGACCGCACTGTTGCCAGGGGAGCAAGGTTACTCCCAGCCCATGTCTGGCCCTGCGGGAAACATCTTGGCACACCAGTCCCAGTGAGGTTGGTGTGATGGATGAATCAAACACAGAGATTTTCTGTGTTTGAGCAGCTGCATGTCGCCATCTTGCTTTTGCCTCCAGCATCCTCCTCTATATCCTGTTCCTGTCTCCTTGCAGTCTACCTCCAGATGCCCCCTTCTCAGTCCCTGCAACTGCTTTGTTGCTGCCCACCAATCCCGGGGCCTCTCTCCTCTGGTCGCCCTCCCCAACCAGGGGCCTCCCCTGGCTTCCAGGTCCCAGCACTGCCGGTTCTGTCCTGCTCTGCTGCCACTGTCTCTTTCTCTGTCCTTCCCTGTCCACCACCCCAGCATGTCACAAGACCCTCTCCAGCTGCCTGCTTTTCACTCTGGTCTGACTTTCCAGTTCAGGCCCTGGAACTCAGACTGAACATCTCTGAGCCCATGAACTGTTGGCAGAGGCAGCCTCTCACACAGGCCAGCTGTGTGCGGGCCTCCAAATAGCGACACTTGTCCCCACTCTGGCAGCATCTCCTCCATGCCTGACCTGGACACTCTCTTCGTCACTTTTGTCCAAGCCTGTCCTCAGGCCATCAGATATCTCATGAGCATCTCCACCAGGAAGTCCTTAAGGCCTCAAACCCCTTCCAAGCTGAACACTGCCCTCTCCAGCCGAGCAGCTGGCCCCTTCCAGCCTGGGGCAACTGGAAAGAGCAGAGGCTCCGGATGCCCGTCAACTCAGCTGGTGGCCCTGAGAAGGCCATCACTTCTGTGAACAGCCACCGATGACCCACTGTCCTCCTCCTCTCGGGCTGTGGGGCTTGGTCCTACATGAGAAGCTAACCCCAAAATGCACCCCACAAGCCTAGGGCATGGGATCCACCACCCTGCGTGCACAAAGCCAGGGCCCTGAGGCAAGGGACACAGCCCACCACTGACCTTTGGGCCCAGGTCTGAGTTCTGGGTGGATGCAAACACCCACTGCCGGTCAGGAGAGCAGAGCAGACTGGGGTTGCTGGGAAACACGCTCACCCTGGAGAGCAGCTGCAGCGGGGGCACCGTCAGTGTGTAGAGCGCCCCCTCAGCGCAGGCCGCCTGCAAGCAGAGGCTGCGGTGAGCACCTGTGTCCTCGCCCAAGGGGTGGGAGGCCCCTGCTTACCTGCCTCCTCGCTGGGGCGCCAGGAAGGTTATTTTTAAATAAACGGTTTAAAATACTTTTTCAAAGATACAAGCAAGGATGAATACATTCAAACAAGGAAGTCTTCAGAGTCAACCCTCTCCCTTCTCGCTGGAGGACTCTGGGTGTGACCTGGGCGCCCCTCCTCCCCGTCACGACGAAGTAGTATTTTGCAACCTGCCTTTTCTGTTTTCACTTTGAAAACGCTCCTTGGAGCTGAGAAATCATTCCACGTCAGAGGGCGTTTTCCCACGACTTTCTACTTCCTTCGTTCTGACGGAAATGCAGGTTGCTCACCGCGAACTATGACCATTGCCATGAACTCTCCGGCATGCAAGCTCTGTGCACCAAGGCCAGGGATTCCTCCTGAGCGGCCCCAGAACTAGACGTTTTAGGTCAAGGGGTATCGCATTTAAAACTTTTAACAGGAAAAAACCCAGCAAGTTTTTCAAAAAAGCTTCAATCTACCCTCTTATTTACCATGCAGAAAAATACCTGTTTCTCCCCCTCCAACTTATCACACCAATCTTTAAAAATGTTTGCTCACCCAGTAGGTGAAATGCCTTGTTCCAAAGTCCCTCTCTCAGGGGAGGGTGTAGCTCAGTGGAAGAGTGCATGCTTAGCATGCACGTGGTCCTGGGTTCAATCCCCAGTGCCTCCATTAAAAAATAAATAAATAAATAAACCTAAGTATGCCCCCAAAAATTAATTTTAAAAAATTAAAATAAAAAAGAACAAAGTCACTTTCTCAATTACTAGTTAGGTCTCGCACCTGTCAACTGAATGAATGCGCAGCCTACAAGTTGAGAGTTCTGTTTTATTTGGCGGAAGGACTGGAGCCGGGATGACAGCCCCTCAGGTGGCTCTGAGGGACGGCTCCGGAGAGGTGGGGGAGGAGCCAGGATGTATAGGAGCTTTACAACAAAGACCAGGTAGTTGGAACAATAAAAGATCACTTGTTATCTAAAGAAACCACGCATAGCAAGTTAAAGAATGTAGTGCTTTTCTGTGGGAGGAAGCAAACATTTGGGCTCACTGAATTCATTCATTTGACAAGCATCTAGCTATCTAGGGCCATTATCTTGTCCTTGATTATTCTGAGT